CAGGGGTCACATGTCAAGGGAGTGCCAAACAGCGGGTCATGATCATACCCCTAGTGGTGACTATGAATCGCAAGATGAACAAGAAGATGAGCCTAACGACATGGATGAGGAGGTTGAATATCTGATACTGGTGAACTCTTAGTGACTCGCCGAGTTCTAAGTGTTCTAGTTCACCCTGAGGAGACAACCCAAAGAGAGAACATATTTCATACTAGATGCACCGTCAAAAACAAGGTATGTAACCTTATTATTGATGGTGGTTCATGTACTAACGTGGCTAGCAAGTATATGGTGGACAGATTAAGTCTTGAGAAGACAAAGCATCCTCGCCCATATAAGTTAAGGTGGCTAAACGACCAGACCAAGCTCAAGATCTCCGAGCAAGTGTCCATACCGTTTAGTATCAGCAAATACCATGATCAAGTCACTTGTGATGTGGTACCCATGCTAGCAGGACATCTATTACTCGGTAGACCGTGGCAATTCGACCGAGCCACGACCCACAATGGCCGCACCAACCATTATTCTTTCATGCACAAGGAGCGTAAGTACAATCTTGCGCCTCTAAGCCCCACCGAGGTACATGAAATGCAAGTGCACAAGAACAAAGAATCCGAGCTAAGTAAAAAAAGTCGTTATTTATCATCTAGTGATGTTTATAAAACCATGAGTGCCAATGGCACCATGCTACTAATGATGTTTAAAGAGTGTCTAAGGGCAGGTCTAGGTGACTCTGAGATACCACTTGAAGTACAAGCTATTCTGAACAAGTTTCAGGATGTATTTCCCAAAGAGATACCACCAGGATTGCCACCACTTCGTTGAATAGAGCACCAAATCGACTTAGTTCCCGGTTCAGCTTTGCCCAACAAGCCAGCTTATAGAATGAACCCCGAGGAGACTAAAGAGTTAGAGAGACAAGTACGAGACCTAATGGACAAGGGTTATATCCGTGAGAGTCTCAGTCCCTGTGCTGTGCCGGTTCTCTTAGTACCAAAGAAAGATGGCACATAGAGAATGTGTGTGGACTGCCGTGCCATCAATAACAGCACCATCAAGTATAGGCACCCCATTCCACACCTAGATGACATGTTGGACGAGCTAAGGGGATCCACAATCTTCTCAAAGGTGGACTTAAAGAGTGGATACCACCAGGTTTGAATGCGTGTAGGAGACGAGTGGAAGACCGCATTTAAGACCAAGCAAGGCTTGTATGAGTGGTTAGTTATGCCTTTTGGCTTGACAAATGCACCAAGCACCTTCATGCGCCTTATGAACCAGGTTCTTCGAGCTTATATAAGTGAATTCGTAGTTGTTTATTTTGATGATATACTTATATATAGTAAGAACCTTAATGACCATCTTCAACACCTCGAACTAGTGCTTAAAACACTTCGCAAGGAAGGCCTATATGCTAACCTTAAGAAGTGCACATTTTGTACTAACAAGCTTGTTTTCTTAGGCTTTGTAATAAGTGAACAGGGATTACAAGTAGACGAGGAGAAGATCAAGGCAATACGCGAGTGGCCTACACCAACTACAATCGGTCATGTTAGAAGCTTTCATGGTCTGGCCAGCTTCTACAGGCGTTTTGTACGAGATTTCAGCACGGTGGCCACCCCACTCACCGCGGTGATCAAGAAGAACATGCCATTCTCATGGGGGCCAGCCCAAGATGCAACTTTTGAAGCCATGAAGAGCCGATTAAAACAAGCACCTGTCTTAGCCCTCCCGACTTTGATGAGATGTTTGAGGTGGAGTGTGATGCCTCTGGGGTGGGAATTGGAGCTGTACTACATCAAAGAAAGAGACCAGTGGCATTCTTCAGTGAAAAACTTAGTGGAGCCACACTAAATTATCCCACCTACGACAAGGAATTATATGCCTTAGTCCGAGCATTGGAGACCTGGCAGCATTACTTGTTGATAAGTATGTTTTTTAGGTCTTAGATGGGTTATCAATCCCTTATGTCACTTGCAGTACAAAGGGTATCAATCCATATATGTGGTAGTTAGGCACTAGTTTATGTGACAAGCTCTTAAGTCAAGTGATCAAAGATGAGTTTTGGTGTGAACAAAGTAACAAGAAAGCATAAAACAAGAAACAAGCAAGCAAGATGATTAACTACTAAACAAAGCAAGCAACCAAACAAGATGATGATAAGCAAATGATGAAAGATAAACCTCTAGATGTCATCATTGATTAGGGTGCTTTAGATACTGATTCATGATGCTAAGAACATAATGCAACACTTGCTACTCTTTAGTCTAGGCTTCTTAATCAGATTAATCCACTCTCATGACAGAAATCCCTTTGCAAATCAGTTAATCAAGTCTAACAACCATTAGAGATAACCAAGCAATCAGCAAGCATAATGTTCCAAGCCTAATAAGTGACCAAATAATCTTTAACAAAGAAAGACTGAATCTGTTACAGAAAGACATAAAAAGCAATCACATGTTCTCAAAACATTTTAACTTATAACTCTAATCTAGATTAATCCTCTCATGAAGGCATTAACCTCTACACTAATCCATTTTCAAATCAAATTCTCATTTGTGAAATATGAATCAATGAGCATTAAGAAACAGTTCTAATATGTCATTTATGCTTCAAACAAACATTCCCATGGCATTTAAAACATAAACCCTTAAGTTAGCTCTTTCAGGCATTTCATCAAACACTTTTGGTGCATGAAATGCCTATGAACCCAGATTTCATTTTCCCAAGGAAATCTGGCATTAGGAGCAGCTAACTAAGGAAATGAAATGAGAATCTAGAACCTAAACATCACAAATCAATCATCTAAGCACCCTAATCTACACACCTAGAAGATTTAAAGAAAACTACTCACTAATCATGATGAACACACCATTTCCTTTGCAAGAGGTGATGTTAATCATGATTAGAAGTAAAGATGAGATGAAGAAATGATAAGAAACAGCTTTAAGATGATTAAAGCTGCTAGATATCTCTTGATCAAACTCGTTTTTACACTAAAGTGGCAAAGAAACAAAGAGAATCAAACTTAGTCTGCTGATAATGACTAAAACATATATATAGGTAGGGTTTCTTGCTGGGCCAACCTAGGACAAACTAGGTTTTGGCCCCAAAAAGGCCCACAAAAACGTCATGAAGCGAGAATGTATCGACCAGATTTCAGTCGGTGCAGGAGGTCGATATTCTTCGGCAATTTGAGAGTGGTTACACCGAGGCGCTACACCGGCTGAACTCACCTCGGTGCAGCGTTAAGGATAGCTTTAGGGGATCAATACCGAGCAGGATTCAGTCGGTGCAGGACGTCGATATTTCTTCGGCATTTTGGCTTCCAAAAGCCAGCCAAAATTGTCAAGGTTCCAAGGTAATACCGACCAGATTTTGGTCGGTACTCCTTCTCGATATGAATGTAGACCGCTTGAACCATATCCTTCATAACTCCTTGCTAACTGGTCGAAACCTTGATCGGTCAACTTCATGAGCCAGATGGCTCCTTCAGCTCCAACGTTGGTGAAGGGTTCGGGTTCATATGACGTTGGAAAGGGCTCCGTTCCACCGGTTCTTTGATGCGCGTTGCTTTGGTTCTTTATCCGCTACGAGACATGTACTGCTTCTTATCGCCGTAACTTTCAGCTCACAACTCCAAATAGGACGATCTCAAGTGTTCTGGAAACAAGACTCGACTCTCTTGATTCGGTATGAAGACTACAGAGGCTGAATTCTGGTGAAAGTCCTCCGTCTCAGGTGATCAAGTTGGGGGATTGTCGGCTCCATAACACTTGTCTGAGTCTGATGCACATAAGGTGATGGTCTCTCCATGGCTTTAGTCCCAATTGCTCCCAATTAGCCCCAAATGACCTGTAAACACTCTAAAAGGGAAAAACTCTCTAGGACATAATGCAATTCCTAACTAAAGACAAAAGCAAAGACAAATATATGTAAAACTACCTAAATATATGCATGAGACTCAATATTTGGAGAAAAATGCAATCCTAAACATGACAAAATATGAGTATATCACTTGTTGTACAAGGAATTCATCATTCATACTGATCACGAGACCTTGAAGCACTTGAGAGGACAAAACCGCACTTAAGAGGCGTCATGCTAAGTGGCTGGAGTTCATAGAGACTTTTGCTTATGTGATCAAGTACAAGAAGGGACAAGAGAATGTGGTGGCCGATGCACTATCAAGAAGGCATACGTTGATCTCTACAATGGTGGACAAGGTACTCGGCTTTGAGCATATCAAGGAGTTATACAAAGATGATCCCAGTTCGGAGAAGCTTATCAAGGACATGGCAAAGGAGCTTATACCTCGTATCACTTGCACGATGGGTTTCTTTTCCGAGACAAGAGGCTATGTGTTCCTCAAGGGTCTTTGAGGGAGCTGTTTCTGAAAGAAGCACACGGTGGAGGCCTCATGGGTCACTTTGGAGTGGACAAGACGTTGGCTGTAATCGCTGACAAGTTCTTTTGGCCGCACCTCAAGAGAGACGTGGAGAGACATTGCTCACGCTGTGTTACTTGTCATAAAGCCAAGTCCAGGTTACATCCTCATGGTCTATATTTACCTTTACCTATCCCTAGCGCACCATGGGTGGATATTTCTATGGATTTTGTACTAGGCTTACCCAAGATCAGGCACAAAGACTCGATCTTTGTTGTTGTTGATCGCTTTTCAAAAATGGCGCACTTCAACCAGAAAAGATATATGTTCCAGCACCTCCATACTAACCCAAGCTCCCATTTCCAGGGAGATTTAAGAAGCAGCTTGTAGACAAGGCAAGAGCTGTATTTGAGAAGGCTCTCAATGAGACACCACTCACAATGCCTCTCATTGATGCATTTCTAATGATGCCAAATATGGGTAAGTTCTTAAAGGATGCTATTCTGAACAAGACTAAAGAGCTTCAAGGTATGGTGGTACTGAGTTATGAATGCAGTGCCATCATTCAGAAAAAGTCCATTCCAAGAAAGTTGACTGATTCAGGGAGTTTCACACTCCCTTGTGCCATAGGGCCTCTGCTATTTTCTGGATGCCTTTGTGATCTAGGAGCATCTGTCAGCTTGATGCCATTCTCCATAGCGAAGAAGCTTGGCTTTAGAGTGTTCAAACCTGCTAGGATCTCTCTTGTCCTTGCAGACAGATCAGTTAGGTTACCTGTTGGGATGTTGGAAGATCTGCCTGTCAAGATAGGTGGTTTTGAGGTTCCAACTGATTTTGTTGTGCTAGAGATGGATGAGGAACCAGTTGATCCTCTTATCTTGGGCAGGCCATTCTTGGCCACAGCAGGAGCAATTATTGATGTGAGAGGTGGCATCATAGAGCTTCAACTTGGGTCTGAGATGCTTAAGTTTGATGTTAATGAGATGATGAAGAAGCCCACCATAGAAGGACAATGCTTCTATGTGGAGACAATGGATCAGTTGGCTGATGAGTTGCTTGAGGAACTGAATACTGATGACCCTCTTTAAGCTGCTTTAACCCAAGAACAAGGAGACCATGGGTTCTTAGCAGAAGAAAGTGAAGGGTACAAGCTGTATTTGGACAATGCTAGAGAACTTGGTCATGAGACAAGGTTTTTGGAACTGGAACGAAGTGACCCTGAAGTTTTGGATATCAGAGGCTCAGACTAAAGCCAAGGAGCAGTTCAAGCAGTCATGGCCGGGAGTTCTAGGGTGAAGGAGCATGCTAGGCTGTTTGAGCAAGACAGCTTCAGTGCCGATTGAGATGAGTCTAAGGCACCTCAGCTGGAACTCAAACCTCTTCCCAAGGGGCTCAGGTATGCTTTCTTAGGTCTCAATGAGTCTTATCCTGTCATTAT